CCCCTGGCCCCCAACCCCTGCCCTACCTCACAACCCTAATCCGCCCCCACACCCACACCCCCTGGCCCCAGGGACCTGCTTGACCGGATGTTTGACGTCAACCAGGACAGCCGCATCTCGATAGACCAGATCCTGAAGCACCCCTGGTTCTCGCGCCCGCTGCCGCCAAAGTGCGCGCGCATGTCTGCTTGATCTATGTGTGTGCGCGTGCTTGCGTGGTTGCCGTGCTCTGTTTTTGTTTGAATCAGCGTTTGCAGGTGTGTCTCAGGGCTTGTGTGTACTGTTATGTGTTGTGTGTGTGGATGTGTGGTGTGTGTGAATGTGTGTGTTGTGTGTTTGTGATATGGAGGTGAAGGGCTAGTGGCACCCCTGTCAGGTGCCGCGCAACAGCCCGCACACCAGCCAAGCAGCGAATCCGAGCGCCCACCACCGCCGACGGCGGCGGCCCCGCGCGCCCAGCCAGGCGCGCGGCGGCCCCCCAGCCGAGTTGCGCCGCAGCCCGCGGCCCCGCCGCGCCGCGAGCTCCCTTAGAATGCCCCCCTGCCCAACGACTCCCATACCGAGCCCCAACAATTCTATTGGATTCCTCTCGGCCTCCCTCCTCCCCATAGGTACGAGGCGGCCCTGGCGCAGCTCAAGAAGGAGCAGGCGGCCATCACCAGCAGGTGGGGCCAGGGGTCAGCCGGGGGAGGGGACCGTGTGGCGGGTTTCGGGTGGTGTGCGTGTGTTTTGGGGGCCGGGGGTTGCGGGTGGGAGGGGGTGGGGGCGGGGCGCAGCTCTGTGGGGAGAGACGGTCTTGCTGGCCTGCGGCCGCAGTCGCGGCCGCCCGTCGTTGCGGCCGGTGGCGCACGTTTGCCCGCCCCCCTCTGCCCGGCCCCCACGCGTCGTGGCTGATCGCCACCCGCATCGGCGCGGCCGCGCCGGCCGCTGCGCAGCCGGTGCACGTCGCCCTCTGAGGAATGTGCGTGGCAGCCTCGCCATAATCTTGTACGTATATCGCCTCACCATTTTCTTTATTTGCCCCGACCCTATGGACCAGGTTCAACGTCAGCAACTTCCGCAGCAAGGAGCGGGACGCCGCGCTGCAGGTGCGTGTGTGTGTGTGTGTGTGTGTGTGTGTGTGTGATTAGGTGTTTGGTTGCAATCGAGTGTGTTGCGCGCGCGCGTGCGTGCAGGTGCGCGAGCCAGTGCGCGCGCGCGTGCGTTTGCCCCCACCGCCTCCAAACCCGTCCGACCACCCCACACTCAAGCGCCTCTCC